AAGTGGTAAAATCAATCAGTTTGAAGCCTTACTGGGCTTGACTAGAAGGTTCTACTGAGTACCAGGAATCTGAGCATAAATATCTATATTCTGATGCCTACACCAAGGCCACAGAAAATGTGAGTGTGTGTCCCTACATTCTAATGCTAACACCAGAGCCACAGAAGTCATCTGTGCTCAGATATTAATATGATACCTTTTGAAGTCATGTTGGTTACTACATCTTGGCTAACAACACAAGCAGTGAAGAAGCTGAGCTTTGCAAGACAAGGCAACCAGCAGCTTTCCTCTCTGGAGGAGGAGTTCGCCCTGATACAGACAGAGAGAAGTTAGTCTGGCTTTCCTGCAGAGATACCACAGCCTGTACTGGTGTGTGCCCATGTCCACACACTACAAGCTACTGTCCTTGTTAAGATGCATTCCTCATACAGTGTTTATCAACTGTGTTGCTATTTGCCAGCAAGGCACTTTTCCTGTCCTTTGCTCTGAGGCCAGTGTGACGCCATTCCGCTGATGGACCTGCAGCCACCGATGTGGAAGTACATTAATGGAGAGAGTGCATTAACATGTCAAAGAGACCAGCCCTCCCAAAAAAAACCCCATAGCTCAAGCCCCTGGTTGTAGTGGGATCCCCATACTGTAGACTGCGGGTGATGTGAATTAAATAAGACAGCCCTTTGGATTTCGGACAATTAGGTTTCAACATAATACCTATGATTTGAAAAGTCTTGTTATTGAAAGACAAAGAGAACAAATTTCAAAGGCTGAAATAGAGTTTTTATTTCTGAAATTAGATATAAGCCTTTATTTTGTCATCTAAATACTGTACTTTCATTCATGGCCCCTTTTATGCTATTCCAAATTAAGAATTTGAATGAATATTATTATGTTATTTTAAGATTATCAATTAAGTCTTCCAGAGTTACAAAACTATATGGAAGTTATAAATTGCATATGCAAATCTTCAAATTAAAAAATAATAAAACATAAATTCTTAAAGGACTAAAGAGTTTTAGTGAATCAAATTATGAAATATACAGCAAATTTTTAATAGACTTGAGTCCATAGCCCAATCCCAGCCATGTGGAGGACAAGGCTCTGTGCCCGTGTTCTGACCGATGTCCTGAGTGGATCTGTGCAGAAAGAACACAGCTGAGCACTGGTACCCAGGACCCCTCTTCCTCAAAGCTCCCTAACAAGCAAGGGTGGGAAAGGCAAGAGAGCGTGGCAGGACCACCTTCTCCCAGATGGGCATCAGGCCAGGAAAGCGAGCTGGGGCTTGTATCCTGGATCAGGAGGAGCTGGGCTCGTTATTAAACCCAAGCCAGAGCTTGGGCATCTGTTAACCCAGGTCAGAGTTCATCTCTACAAACCTATCTTGATGTCCTCCCATAAGATCTTCCTTGTACTCTCCGTGGACAAAGGACGCGTCCCTTTACTTAAGTTAGTCCCCTGCCCTAGTCTGACTGTCTTCGCGCTGAGGACCTGTGCCCCTGCTTGTCGGTCTGGGCCACTTGTTTTTGCTTCTGCCCTCAGCCCTACATGGTGTCTGCCCCATGCACTTCGTGCACACTGAACAAACTGGATCATTCCATCTCGTGCCAGTGTCACGTTCCCACCGGCTGGGAATGCTCAGCTCTGTGGCCCAGCACATCCCAGTTCCCTCAGTGAGGCCTGCGTTGTCAGCCTGCCGGATTCTCGGACAGCACTGGGAACAGTGAGGCTTCTCAGCCCACAGCAATTTTCCCTGGAGATGGGAGGAATGGGTGGTGGGATGCAGAGGGTGTGCCCTGGGGCTTGGCATTATTAAGTTTGGACGTACCTGGTGGCCTCGTAAAGACGACAAGAAAAAAACTGACTCCTGACTGCCCATGATGCCTCAGTTTACTGGTATGGAGGACCTTGGGATGTGACACTCTAGGAGTCCTCTTAATCTTGTTCATCATACTTATTTTGACCTATACTCTGTCACTAACAACCAGACCAAAGCTGACAGCCATAGGGTTCTTCTGTTGTTCATGCTGGAGTGCCGTTGTTGGGGTCCTGACCAAGTCCTGGACTCGGCTCTCACAGGGCAGACAGTGTCACGCTTTACTAAGTTAAATGATTTCATGGCCTAGCCTTATTAAGAAACTTTAAAAATTAGAAATGATAAGCTGGGTGTGTGGTTCACACCTGTAATTCTAACACTAGGGAGGCTGAGGCAGGAGGATTACCACAAGTTCAAGTAAATCCTGGGCTGTATATAGTGTACTCCAGGCTAACCTAGGCTACAGAAAGAAACCCTGTCTTAATAATAGAAAAGAAAATCAGAAATAACTGTTTGTGTTCCCTAGAGAAGTACATTGCTTATATGTGGGTTTGGGAAATACTGCCAAGACAGAGTATAGAGGATGGGGATCTCAGACCCAAATTAATTTTGTAAGCTGAGTGACAGGTCTGCTAAGGTACTAAAGATCTCAGCAAATGCCTGCAAGATATATGTATTCTTAATTATCTCGCTGCTAAACCATCACTTTGATTACTCCTCGGTGCATGTTAATTAGCCCCTCAGTGTCTGCCACGATCACGCAGCCTCTGTCTGCAGCTGGCATTCACTGACCTCCAGGACCTCTGTTAAGATACAGCTAGGCACTGTCCCTCATACTTGTCGTCTGGAAGGGGTGTTCAGGTAGGACAGGGACTTGCGATGTGGCCGTTCCTAACACTGCAGAGGAGCAGCCTTCCTTGTAAATAGATTGAGGATTTTCTTAATGTTATGATAACCTCAAGATAAAATGCTAAATTAGCATCTTTATGTACAGTGTGGTTAGACAGAGGCCTTTTATGTGGGCACACACTGATGATAGCTGGATCTTTTTTTTTGTTATGTAGTGTATATCTCATCTTTGTTCACGTGGAAGACTGTAATTGTGCTGTGCAGGTGGACTATTGCGTGGTACCAGAACCTATTGACTCCCGAAGTAATCACACAGAAATCTGTATTAATTATAATACTGTTTACCCAATAGCTTAAGCGTATTGTTAGCTAGCCCTTACATCTAGAATTAACCCATTTCCATTACTTTATATTTTACCATGCGGCTCATGGCCTACCAGCAAGATTCCAGCTAACAGCTTGCATCTTTCTCCTCTGGCAGCTCCATGGTGTCTCACTGACTTTGCCTTTTTTCTCCCAGCATTCAGTTTAGTTTTCCTGCCTCGCTCTACTCTGCTCTATCACAGGCCAAAGTAGTTTCTTTATTCATTAACCAATAAAAGCAACACACATGCAGAAGGATGTCCCACATCAAGAATCCATAGAAGTCCTGAAGTCAGCTAATCTCTCTCCCTCGGGAAAGCTCTATCTCCGAGACCCGCTGCTGCCTCTGTGCCCATCAGGCTGAGCAGGCGGCGGACTCTGCACCAGCAGGAAAGGACTAGAGTGGAAGTCCCAGAATTAAGTGTTCCACATCTTCATTCAGTTTTGTGTGTTACTAATAAATGGTATATAAAACAGAACAGTAGGCTCGACAAAGCCGTCAGCTTTGAAGATGACGAGATCATCCTTAGTCATCATTAAAAGCCAGACTGCCAGCGACCATATTCGCATTTTCTTTATACTCTGAAGTCAGAGCCCTTGAACTCCATTTGCTTTGGTTGGTCTGAGAGCAAGTAAGGATAGTTTAGACGCCAGATGAAAGAAAGGGCTAAGTCTACAGGCCGCACAGTAGTGCTGTTGAGCAGTGGGGCATCGACATGAAGCTGTGGAAGGAGACGATGTTTGTGGCAGTATGTGCTTTCGTGAGACCTCAAGGGATGTGCAGAGCCTCATAGGAAGAGCTGCGCCAAGACGCTGTGAGAGGCTTCGGAGATGGCCTTGATGCAGAGCCCAGATCGCAGAGACACAAGGCCAGGAGAGCCTACACCTGAAGGGTTAGAACTCTGTGCTGCAGGGATCATTCTGGAGGGCTTGTGGTGAAGTTCTGCTGCCCCTCTGTTAAAATACCGCTCTCCCATTCTTCAAAGAAAAAAGAATGAAACTTAAACTCTTTCAGGGTGTCCCCTTCACTCTGTTGTCTCTCACCCAGATCTTTGCAGTGGCCTCCTGAGGCCATATTCTGGTTTCTTCGTCAATGGCCACCAGAGGCCTGTGTCTTTAAAACACACATCGTCAGTGTCCTCCTAGACCTCTTTAGCATCAGGACGGAGTCTCAGAGAGCCACCGGGAGCCCCCTCTTATAGGGCTGTGCTGATACCAGTGTCTCAGAGCCCCATCTCTATGCTGTGTACAGATGGTGTGGTTTCAGTAGGACCTGATTTTTGCAGGTTAACTAGTAGACCCAGGAGGAAGCAGGGCTTTCTCTCGTTCCTATTCTTCAGAAGATTTGGGGCAAAGAATTGTTCTAGTAGGATTCTCGTACTACTCTGGTTGTTTTTCATTTCTTGACTTCTGGTTTGAGTGGGGTGAGGATGAGGATGCTGGTGAGGATGCTAGCCAGTGTGTGCAGTCAGCTCTTGTTATGAGTTAGGGCTGGAGAGGGCTGGGTGGATAGATGGATGGATGGATGGATGGATGGATGGATGGATGGATGGATGGATGGATGGATCGATCCATGTATCCTAATATGCCATTAGGACCGGGCTTCTGCCTCTGCCTTCGAGTTTTGGACTGGACAAGTGGAGCAGGGCAGGATTTGACCCCTGGTGCCAAACATGACAATGAAAAAAAAAGAGCCGTCGATTTTGCCTGCTTTTGTAATTCCTGTTTTTATCTCAAGTTTCTTGCTCCTGCATCTGTTTGTCTTAAGCGTAGTGAATAATAACTCAGAACACTTGACACAATTATAAATGTCACTTATTTGTGAACTTATGAACAGTATATTCAATATTTACCAACTGGTAGAGTGCAGCCTCTCAGAAAAGGGCCAGCCTTGCCGCTGTATCTCGAGATGACTGCCAGGGTTCTGTGCAGCCGACGTGGTGCTCAATGAGTGTGTGCCTGTTCTCTTTCCCTGCAGGCAAGGCAGCTTTCCTGGCATGAACCAGGGTGGACTCATGGCCTCCAGCTCTCCCTACAGCCAGCCCATGAACAACAGCTCTGGCCTGATGAACACACAGGCACAGCCCTACAGCATGACCCCGACAATGGTGAACAGCTCCACAGGTAACCAATGCCACCCTGTCTTCCTGTCTCCTCCTCTTGGGCTTTATGATGAATGCCCAAATGCTGAGAAGGGGAATTCCTCGGTGCACATGGGCATCTCCGAGACCCGCTGCTGCCTCTGTGCCCATCAGGCTGCCCATGTCCACCCCCTGCTTTAGAAAAGCTTGCTTAGTCTGTGACTTGATGTAAATGGTTTGTCATGGTTTGTCCACTACATCCCCATGTTTCAAGCGTCTTTGGATGAACTGTATTCTACTTTCTCCTTATCCTTGGGAGTTACTAGAAGGATTGAAGGCTCCCTGAGCAAGAACTGACACTTGGCAGTGACAGAGGTAGGCGTGTAGGCTCTGTGCTGCAGAGGAAGAAGTCGCAGGGCCCAGCAGCTGAAGCACTCTTGGGACAACACCTTTCCCTATGCTGAGTGCCATGTCAGAAATGAGAAGCTGGCGTTTGGTTGCGCTGTATCCCTTTTGGGTAGGACTCGCCCATTGTCTCCACTGGACTTGGGAGGAGGTGGGAAGTCCGCCGAAGCCCTGGGACCACATTGTGGGCCTTGGCTCCCGTGCTCATCTTTCCCATTTACATAGCTTTGCCCGCGTGCTCTGTGTCTGGGTCTCCTGGGACCTAACCTCCCCTTTCCAATCTCCCCTCCCCCGCGGCCGCCACTCTCAGAGCTCTCTGTCACAGAGGACAGTCCAGAGCAGCCAGGTGTGTTACCTGCCTGAGCAGCGGAACCACCCAGCCCTAGGGGCTCACTTCCTGAGAGTTTAGAAAAACACAAACTAAACTGAGTCCAAACTCAGGGTTTCCAATACCTGAAATCCCTCTTCCCAGTGTTAGATCCAACAGCCTGCAATGCTGCCCAGCCCATACAGGTCTGGGTCGGGACAGCCTGTGTTCTGTCTGGCTTTCTGAGATAAAATTGCTTCTGAAACTGGAATAAATTTCTGTCTACTGTTAGCGATACTCATTTTTTCCGTTTTCCTTTAAACCCCAGAGCTCCCAAAATGCTCTTAGTAAACAGATGGCACACACCCTGACCATGAAGATCTATGTGTTCTGAAGAAAGAACCAGTTTTATGGGGCTCATAGAAAGGGTTTCATTTTATTATTCAGATAATTCAGCGATTCATTACTTCATGCAGAGGAAATCTGCTCAGTGAAAGACCATTTATCCTTACAGCTTTCTGTAAAGCATAGCAGTATATTTTTCATGGCACTGTGCATTTCAAAATATTGAATTTTTAATAATTTAAACATTTATCAAATTTTGTTCTACGATTTATATGATTTCGTTTCCACATTATCGAGTCTGATGCTACCTGATAGAAAGAGATCACTCAGAAAAACTGAGGAATATTGACGTTCAGCATCTCTTGTGTCTGTTGACAGGTCCCGTGAGTCTTCTCTGAGTGTTTGTCTCTGAGAGGAGCAGGAATCAGGATGTCGGCAGTGCAGCACCCCCAGAACTGTGTGCTACCCCACACACTGGGAGTGGTTCATTGTGACGTCCACCTCTGTGGCTTAGGATCGCGGCCGTGGAGATCAACTCCCACTCCCGACGCATTCCTCCATCACGGTGCTCTGTGGAGGAAGGTGGAGAGTGTAGGCAGGGCCAGAGTGGGGTTTTCTGAGATTCTGTTAGTTAGCACCCCCTGTAACTAGCTTCCCAGCATTCCCTTCACTGAGCCAGGTAATGGTGTTGTAGAAGGCGCACCACACACACACACACACACACATCCTCCTGTGTAGGAACATTGTCACAGACTTCAGTGAGCAAGTGATTACTTAAATGGAGACAGTATGAGAATAAATGTGGCAGGCATTTCTTCCTGGATCTTAGCAGTTGTTGGGTAGGAACAGTGAGGATTGTCTTCTGATGGAGCCATCTGGATTCACATTTAAGTTTGAAATTCGTTTTTAGCAAGTTGGATTAAAAAGTTTGAATCACTTAATATTGTGAGCAAAATAATAACTTCCAGGTAAACTTGTGTATCCTGCACTGTAGTCGGGTCCGTGGTGGTCTTAGCATTTGTAATAATTCCTTAATGCGCTGTTGTCCTCTCATGAGGCGTCGCCTTCATGAGGATCTCTGATGCCAACTACCAGAAAGCCTACCACCTAGAGCTCTATGATGGCCTCTCCAGGAGCCACTCAGTAGAAACCAGGCGTTCCACCATGCTGCCCGTAGGGTAGGAGCCCCATCTGCTGCTACAGCAAAACCTCCCCACAGGGAGCCTTGGCCAGATTCTAATCCCAAGAGTGAGGTGCTCCTATCATTTGCCTACCTAGACACTGAGTGCCTGCTCTGGCAGCCCTTAGGAAGGAGTCAGTGGCACTACCACAGAACTGCCCAAGGACTGCCTACTGCAAGGCACCTGGAGTGCCCGTTATAGCTGCAGAGCCTATCCGAATTCTGAGGGTGTGTCCAGGAGGCTGTGTTATTAATAAACTCCCCGGGTGATCTTCACATGCACAAATGTGACAGCCACAGATAAGGGAGCATTCTGCTCAGTGGTCACTTGATCAATCACTGTCCACCCTCAAGAAAGAAAAAAGACAAGCAAACTGGGGACAAGGAAGGAAGCGGGCAGACCAGGGACAGGGGAAGACGCAGGCCGAGGGGACTTGATAAAGCATGTCAGCCAGGTTTTGTAAGATGGAAGACTTACATGCTGAGGTCGTGCCAAAGCGCATCAGTGTGCCAGCTCCTGGCTGGAGGAGACACTTGCCTCTATTATAAAGGCCAGTGCAGAGGCTGTCACCCAGGCACACTATGGAGCCATGCCCTCCTCGTGTTCCCTGGCACTCGCTCGGAAGGCTGTGCTGTGAGGAAGGGTGCTTCCCCAGAGATCTTTCTGTAGCTCGCATATGTGCTTATTCACCGTGCAGTGGATTCTGCCACACATGCAACCTTCAAGCATGCGGTGCCTGAGATGCTGGGTCAGGAGGATCCCAATGAGCTTGAGGCTAGCCTGGGCAGCATAGGGAGCTCTTTGAACCAGGCTAGACTACAGGGAGGGATTTGTTTTAAAAAAAAAAAAAAAAAAAAGAAAGAAAGAAAGAAAGAAAGAAAGAAAGAAAGAAAGAGCGAAAGAAAGAAAAGAAATAGCAACAACTAATTCGTGAACAAGGTAGGCTTTGGTGTTTAGAATGACAAAATAGCTCTAGAATGTGGGATTTTACCAAGAAAGGAAAAGAGCTTGTGTGTGTCACTGCCTTCTGGGAGTGGCTGCAGCCGTGTAAACAACAGAGAGAAGCTGGAGGACGCAGGTTGGCTTCACTCAAGTCCTGAGTTCCCTGAGTTCTTTTTTTTTTAATATTTATTTATTTGTTATGTATACAATGTTCTATCTGTATGCCCAGAAGAGGGCACCAGACCCCATTACAGATGGTTGTGAGCCACCATGTAGTTGCTGGGAATTGAACTCAGGACCTTTGGAAGAGCAGGCAATGCTCTTAACCACTGAGCCATCTCTCCAGCCCCACTGAGTTCTTGAGAAAGCATGAATCCAACTCCCTTAGGACCTTGACCCCTGGTGGCCTTAAGAAGTCATTTTAGCTCCTACATCCCCGTGGCAGGACCAGCGCCTGCCCTTAGGATATGTCTGCATTTTCCTCGCTCCGGCAGCCCTTGCTGTAGTCTTGGTGCTGTCGTCCCTGGCCATCCCATCCAAACTTCTGGACTCCTGGGAGTTGGAGAATCAGCAGTTGAGGGAGGGCGTATCTGACAGTGAGGAAAGAGGAGAACGGTGCCCCAGAGAGACCACTGCCCTGGAGGGTGGCAGATACATGCTCTGTGTAGCAGTTCTTTGAAAGTTTGGTTAAGTCAAAAAAAGTAAGCATTTCAGTAGAAGGAAAAATAAAATCCACAGTCGGACAGAAACAGTGCAGTCATGTAGTTAGAAGAATCTGCGCAGTGTGTAGAAAGTGCCACTCCAGTCCCATCTCTCAGAGCAGGAGGGCGGGGCAGGTGTATCCACATATCCAGGGTGCCCACTTCAGAGAATGAAGAAATTTGGGGGATTTCAGACTCCACGTGTGCTTTATTCATCGGAGTCTGATTATGAAATCGGCGTGAACTACTGCTGATGATTGTAGTACAGTTAGCTTAGTTCTTTCTGCTTAAAGTTACTTTTGTGTACATTTAATGTGTGAAATGCATAAAACATATCGCTATTCCTACTGCCAAAATAATATCCAGATAAAACTTAGAAAACTGGCCAAACAGCTGTCACCTCTGGAGCAGCAGGATTTGGCAGAAGCCACGTGTTGTGACCTCCTTCTCTGAATTGCGCTGGCTGCCATTGCCCTGAGCAGTGTGCAGAAGGGAAAGGACGGGCCGATATCCGTGCACAGGCCCCTCTCTCCCTGCACACGCTAATTCCTCTTCTGAGCGTCCAGGCTCACTAGTTCCGTCTCCTTGGGCCCTGTGGAGAAGCCACATGGAAGCCACTGAGCGAGGCGGTCTTCGGCAGTAATATCACTCAGTTGCTTTTTTTTTGAGGTTTCACACATTCACAGAAATAACACATTTTTAGCTGATCCCAATAGATTTTCCTCTGCAGCTGCATCACTTGAAAAAGCTTTTTGTTCCAGTTCTTAAAGTCTAAGTATTGAAAGTAATTTGAAAAAAAGAAAAACATCTCAATTATGATTTGTGTGTGTTGTGATGACTTTAAGGGCTGACTGGGCTGTAAATGGGCTTTGCAAAGCCAGCCCGTGTGCCTGTGGAAGCGCGGGATTTCAGAGCAGTGTTGAGTGTGCCGACGTAAACTCCAGGGCACGTGGAGGGGTAGGCTTTTTTGGCAGGACCTATGGTCTCAACCTGCAGTGATGCTAACGATATTAACAAATTAGCACCATGGAGCTTGCCAGCTAACCCACCAGAGCCTGCTCATTCTCTCGCTGCTGTAATTAAAACTAATTATTTTCTAAAACACAGTAATGCACGAATATGTGCAGTACTCGTTCTGTAGTGGCCGATCTGCAGGGCCTTTTCAGCTGGTTTGCTTTCCCTTCCTTTTCTAGCACATCGTGCTCCCTGTGTCCTGCCTGGCTGAGCCCACACATTGCAGCATCTGAAGCAGGTTCTGTGTATGGAACCTTATGGTTCTGCCATCCTGGCAGGGAGTGATTTCAGATCTCTGCCTCAGTGCCCCCGTTCTTCACATCTATTATATCTTACTTGCAGCGCCTCTGTCTAGCTCAGTTGTGTGGAAGGCTCAACAGTAGGTTCTATGGAAATTCAGCTCGACTCCCTGGATAGCCTCCCTGATTGTCCTCAATAGTCTGAGTCCTCCCTTAGAAAGAAACTGCTCGCCTGAGCATGTCTGTTGGTGTCTACGGTGAGGATGTGTTCTCTGAACACTTGTTCTCTGAACGTTTATCTAGGGCCTGGGTGAAGCTTGCGCATCCACATCTCAGGCCGCAGATGGAAAGTGTGACCTGAGTCAGGAGCTCCTGTGATGTCTCACTAACTGTAGAGGTTGATGACGCAGACTCTGTGCCAGCTGAGGGTCAGCAGCCCCCTCTAGAGTTTAGGGACTGTCCCCTAAGTCCTCTGTATGGTTTTCCTCCTCTGTTGTAGACTAGAGCATCGGAAGTAGCTGAGATTTTGCAAACAAATCTTTGACCTGTAGAAATAGAGCCCCAAGTCCTCCAGAACCCAGGCGGCAGATACACACTGCAGTTTCTTCCAGCGCCGCGGGAGCAGTTCATACGCCTGCCCGTCTCTACTTGTCGCCTACTCTCTTAAGCTATGATAAAGAGAAAGAGCTATAAACTGGCCTGTGTTTGGGGGTCTTGGCTATACAGGGTCTGCTTCCTCCACCATGTAAAAGAATTTCAGACATCAGCGTGTTTCAGCAACCCATGACTCTTTTTCCCCCTTTCCTTCCTTCAAGGGAAGCATGGGTGCCGGGTGAGCAGAAGCCCTGGTCCATCCCCAGTGTAATCCTTACTCTCTCCTGTTTCCCATTAGCTTCTATGGGTCTTGCAGATATGATGTCTCCGGGCGAATCAAAACTGTCCACACCTCTTAAAGCAGACAGTAAAGAAGAAGGCGCGTCCCAGCCTGAGAGCAAGTCAAAGGTACTTCCTCCTCCCTGCACGCCACCGTCACTGCCTGCAGGGCAACTGTGCTGTCCTCTGCCCGGTGATGACACTGTCTCATAGATGTGCCTTGTGTGCCACTTGTCTGCCGTCTTCCCCACCCCCACCCCGCTCCCCAGCTCCCCATGGTGTGGATCTGAAAGTTACTAATTCTTAACAGCATTGAATCACAGTGCGGGAAGGGTGGAGACCTGGCTAAGAGATGCTGTTGGGGAAGCAAAGGATTTATTTATATTGCCTGGTGTGGGTACTTGGACCCATTTTCTCTGTATATAGTTCAGAGCTTCCTATTTTGGCTAACTCTACAACAGCATTCTTACTGTTTGCTTCCTTGCCTTATTTCCTAAGTAAGACAAATGGCTTTTTTTTTCTTTTTTTGCTTTCTTACTTTCTTGCATAAGATATATCCCATGCTTAGCATTCCATCTAAGCTTAAAGTAAGCTTGGTAGCTTTGTGGCCTTTCCAGCACCCAGCAAACTGACCAGCCACACTAAGAATGTTTTAGTACTCTGTTATATATGTTTTCGTGTGTGTTTGTGCATGTCTTTATATATACATTTATGTGTGTATGTACGTGTATGTGTATATACACAATTCATCTGTTAAACTGAATGTACTTAATTGTTTTAAATAAAGTGTGTTGTACCTTTGTCATTTTTTTTATTTCCCTACCGCAGGATAGCTACAGCTCTCAGGGTATCTCTCAGCCTCCGACCCCAGGCAACCTGCCAGTCCCTTCCCCGATGTCACCCAGCTCCGCCAGCATCTCCTCCTTTCACGGGGACGAGAGTGACAGCATCAGCAGCCCAGGGTGGCCCAAGACGCCGTCAAGCCCTGTGAGTGCCTGGTTGTTCGTTGTGGGTTTTGTATGGAGGGGTTTGGGATAGTTAATTCATTAGACTTTAATGCTTGCCAGTTTGCTTTATAAGACTCCGTTGTCGATCCGTGGAAAGGCAGGATTTATAAATCATTCATTACTAACAGCACATCCGAGTGTGTCATACTCTTTCTGGAGTTCTTAGCAGCTGTTCTCAGGTGGAGCCCTTCCTCCACGTGGAGTGCACTGGTGTTTCAGGGGCTCAGACCCCGCCCTGGGGGTGCCTGCCGTGTGTACCACCGAGGGCTTCTCTAAAGCCAGCTGCTGTCATTTACACGGAAACTAAAAGCAGCCGGGAGATAAATGACACATTTGACTCCTGGTTTAACTTTGTCATGGTTATTGTATCTAAAAACTGATTTCAAGGCCGTTTACCTGAAATAAATGAATAAATATTGCAACCAGGTACAGTGCGTTATAACAGCGGCCTGTTTCAGTTATAAATTGTGTGCCCGAAATGGCCAAAGTTACAGAAAGGTTAGTGCATCTGAATTTTTAGGCTAAGCATGTGCGTCTGTGTCAGTCGCTGACAAAGACAGGCGCTACATTCTCCAGATAAGTGACAGCATTTGCCGTCTACATACCAGGAAATGCTCTTTTGCCTCCAAGTTGGGCCTTTATTCCTTCTAAAATTATTACCCTGTAACAATAAAAAAGTAATATGTTATTATAACCTTTTACTTTACGTTCATATATAGGGAATCAAAAGATTTTTTTAAAAAACATGAAATAAGTTGTCAAGAAACAGAATTAACACCTGATATCTGTAAGATACTGCATTAAAGTGCCCAGCTCAGGAGAACAGGTTGGAGGGAAGAAGACCCTGGCTGTGCAGGATCTGGCAATCTAATCAAAACCCGAAAGGAGGCCGCCATTAATTACCCATCCACTGGGGTAGACATGTAGAGCCCGGCCAGCGTTTGTGGAACTCTGCTGTAGCCAGCGTTTGCCTTTTCAGAGCGAGGAAGGGGCCCCGGGCATCCCCTTCCCTGAAGATGTGTTTCAGAGTGAGCCGTGGCCCACTTCCAGCCAGATCAGAGCAAGGGGGAGCTGGACCCCCTTGTTTTTAGGTGCTGTTGTGCTGTTGGCTTTGAGTCTCAGAAGGCAGCCAATACTGTGTGTTTGGGGGTTATTTTGTTTTTCAGTAAACTACCTTGGAATTTTTTTCTTCTTCCTTTTCCTTCCTTTCTCTCTCTTTGTAACAGAAAAAAGCATATGAATTAACAATGCTAAATGAGTGGGCAGAGTCCAGATACATTTACATAAACGTCTGCATATTGGCTCAGTTGTAGAAAATGGTAATGCTTAAAACTTAAGATAATAATTGAGAATAATTAGTGAAAATGAAGACCTTAATAGGCTGGGCACCATGAGAAAACACTTACTGTTGGTCCTGGAGTCACAGCTGACAGAGAGGCTGCTGTGTTCCAGCTTCCTGCTCAAGCTGCCCTTACCCAGCGAGGCCCGTGCAGAATTCCTACCCCAGATTCTGTCTTCTAGCTGGACAGTGACCCAGGCCTATAATCTCAGACTGGGAGGCTAAGGCTGCAGAATCGTGTTTGAGTCTAGCCTGGGCTAAATAGCAAGCCCCACCTCAAAAAAAAAATTTTATTTAAATGTAATAGAAAAGTAAACTAAAGTACTGACCCCATTTTCTGATGATTATACTTGAATTTTCTTAAAAACTCACTCACTTCTCTTTTTATGCCGTAAATTGCTTTGTGTTTAAGAATCTGTTAGCAAACCTGTGGTTCCAGTGCTAACCAAGCACAAGAGAGGCTGTGTTTGCCCTGTGCTAGGCCCTCGCTGTGTGCTCTGCTGCGTGAGATGGGTGTTCCAGAAGGGGAATGCAGTGCAGGACCGCGTGCCACCGCCTGCAATTCAGGAGAAGTGAACTGCTCCTGCAGAGAGGCCGCTTCAGTTGGTGCTTGAAACCAGTCTCGAGTAGTGTCCCCAGAAAAGCTTTGCTAATAGCAGGCATGAGCCGGGCAAAATAACAGAGCTGCCATGGTTGCTTTGACAGTGTGCTTTGGACCAACATTGCTTTGTTAGAAAACATTCTAAAATATAAATAAACATTTGTCCATACGCATACACATATACGGAGAACCAAGCATATGGCAAAGACTGCTGAAATGTAAATGTGTCTCAGAGGCTCAAGAAAACGCGGCTGAGCCGAATTAAACTATATGCAAGGAAAGTGTGTGTGGCGCCATCAAAATATCTTGATGTGATTTTTCAGCAGCATCCATTCTTCCTGCTCCCCAAGGGATTCAGAACCTGGGATATAGTGTTCACAGCCCAGAAGCAGTTCCAAGTGGCCCTTGGACTCCTGCAAAAGATACAGGGTCTTCCTGAAGGCCCTTCCCACCATCATAGGCAGTGTCCCCTCAAGACCATCCTCGAATGGGAACAGAGATGGCTCTGGGGGCCAGAGCAGTGGCTGCTCTTGCAGAGGACCTGGGTTTAGTCCCTAGTACTCAAAGATGCCTCACAACCGTCTGCAACTCTGGTTCCAGAGGATCTAACGCCCTCTTCTGGCCTCCATGGGCACTGTACACATAATACACATACATGTAGGCAATATACACATAAAATAAAAACAGATCTAAAAACTAGAAATTTCCTCAGATAGTCCAGCCAGCCAGTGTCTAGGAGAGAGGAAGAGCCGTGTTCATTGGCAGCAGGGAGCACACATGTCCTCTACTGGGCTCTCCTCCTCTGTTCTCCTAGTTCTCTCTCCAGACACTAATATCTTCCTTAGACACTGACTCGACACACAAGCAAGCCTTGGCCCAGAGGTGTCCACTGCTGCTCTCTCACCTGTGACCTCACTGTGGCCACCACATTCGTGCCACACCTTTTGTCCAGTGCATATGCTATTTGTTGTTATATTAACTAGTTGTTCATTCTTACCTGCGCACAGTCAGACTTTTACACAACTTTCTGTCATAGAACAGCGTGCATACCATTAGTGTGAAGGACGCTGTGTTCACAGTTGCCAAGCTTGTGTGGGTGGGAGAGCCGCTGTCAGTGCACCGCAGAGCAGCACCCTGCACTCTAGACAGAGCACGGCAAAGGAGCCAGCCAGCATGTGACAGGAGAACTGAGCCTTGGTGTAGATTAGCCAGCAGGCCTCCTGGGAGATTGTCACGCAGGCACCTACATTTCTTGAGCTATGTGAAATGCTTTTGTCTGCATGGTAAAACCATAAAAATGAAGCCGGGCAGTGGTGGAGCACGACTTTAATCCCAGTACTCGGGAGGTAGAGGCAGGTGGATCTCTGTGAGTTCAAGACCAGCCTGGTCTACAAGAGCTAGTTCCAGGACAGGCTCCAAAGCTACAGGGAAGCCCTGTCTCAAAAAAACAAAAACAACAACAAAAAAAAAAACATAAAAATGCCTTCGGGGAAGATGCAAAATTATCAATAACTATTACCTTTTACGCTTGAGAGATAGCTCAATGCTGGGAGTGCTTGCTGCACTCTTGGACCCATTTCAGAGCCCAGCACCCACACCCACGTTGTATGGCTCACAGCTACCTGTAAGTCCAATTCCAGGTGATTCCTGCTCGCTTTGTTGACTCTGGACATCTGCATGCATATATACATGTTCGCACACACACACATAGGTGGAGACAGATACATATGAACACAAACATACACACGCACAATAAAAAAAAACCTGACGAACTACTCATTGCTCTTTTCTGATTGTAAAGGAACAGATTAGAATAACACAGGTTGACAAAGAGAGGTGACCAAGTTAAAATCTACACATACAGACTCCCCCAGTATTTTAGGTCTGCTTCCAGCCCTAAGAATCCTGTCAAAAACAAGGACAAAGCTGCTGTACACTGGTCCTCTGCTCATGCTCAGTCCTCAGGGAGGCACGCACTGGCCGGAAGTGGAGGCTGGCTCGTAACCTCCAGGTCATGGCAGAGCTGCTCAGGTCTTTCAGGGCCCCTTTAAACAACCAATGGCCTTCACTGTTCCTTAACAGCACACTGGCGAACGTTGCCTCCCAGTTGCTCATGAGTGAATGTATCTGACTATAGGGAAAGATGCTTTTCCCTCATGTTCTTATTTCATGATTTCATCTTTTAAAAGCACTGGGCTTATGTTTGAGTGACCCTTCCTAGAAGAAGCACAGCTCTCTGCCACCATTTAGCTAATGGCCTCCCGCTTTCCTGCAGGGTTGCTGATGAACTTCCGCTGTCAGCTCTGTAGTTTCTTCTCTTAGTAAAATGAAAATAAAGTTTATAAAGGATGCAATTCAAGAGTGTTTCACTCTTTATTATATATGCATAAATTGGATACACACCCTAAAAGATCACACTGTTTGTTCCTGGCCACTTAGCCCCAAAATAATCACATAGAAATTGTATTAATTAAATCACTGCTTGGCCCCTTAGCTCTAGCTTCTTATTGGCTAACTCTTACATATTAATTTAACCCATTTCTAGTAATCTGTGTGTGGCCACGTGGCTGTGGCTTACCAGCTAAAGTTCTGTCCAACTCTGGTGGGGCTACTTGGCTTCTCCCTGACTCTGCCTGCTTTCTCCCAGCATTCAGATTAGTTTTCCCTGCCTACCTATATTCCCTGTGCAGGCCCAAGACAGTCAGTTTATTAACTGATGGTATTTACAGCATGCAGAGGGGAATCCCACATCAACACTTGCTTCCCATTCTGACCATGTCAGCTGCCCTATTCAGTCATTCGGTACTGAGGACTGAATTTAGACCTTCCTAAATACCATCAAGGTCTAGCCCCATCCTTTCCCTACGTTGTTTTTTTTTTTTTTCCTAATTTGAGACGGGCTTAATAAACTGTCAGTCTAGCCTCAAACTTTGTGATATTCCTGCCTCAGCCTTCCAAGTACCTGGGAGTACAGGTTTGCACAAGTGGGCCCAGGTCGTCCGTGTTTATGTATTTTATTTATAGATTTTATGCCTCAGTAATAATAAAACCAGAGGCTTAACATCACAGGCAGAACGGCCTGTAGAGGAAGGCTGCCACTTCCCGAGCCTGGTGCATGGTTTCTAGGGCGCTAACCACACTGGGGTGCTTGTCTGATAACCCCTTGGCCACACTGAGAGGCTCAGAACCCTTACCTAGGGAGAATTGGCTGCCCTGTGCCAGTTTTAGCTGCCCAATAGCTTACAAACACCAGCAGCTGGAAGCACACCTGTCTTGTCTGTGGTTTCTGTCCTGCACACTGCAGCAAGCACCAGGTGTCTGTTCTGTCATATGACCTAGTTCTCATAAAGACACGTATTAGTCATTCTTATTTGGAGGGAAAAAGTGGGAATGTGTTATTGGAGGTGAGGGGACTTTATGGCACCAGACAAGAGAAATTTGACCCCAGACCTTCCTTCTCCGGACTGCCAGTGTTTTGGTTCTCAGAAGCACATGAGACCTCATTGGAATCTTGCCTTTCGGGACTCAGTGCTTCTATCAGAGTGTTTATTTTACTTCGGTATTTTCAAGTGTTAAAATGAAGAGTTTGGGCCCTTTTATTTGAAGCCAGAGTGTGTTATTTAAGAAAATATGTATGATAGTAGCCTCTGTCCCACGCCGTTGCAGGATAGTCACAGTCTTTACGTGTGTTTCTTGGTCCCTCGCCGTTGTAGGACAGTCACAGTCTTTACGTGTGTTTCTTGTGCTCATCAGTTCTCTGCTCTTTCCTCACCTTCTCCCCTCCCCCACTCCGCTCCCCATGCCCGCTGCCACCCACTTCTGGCACTAGAAGTCCAGCTCTTCTTCCACCACTGGGGAGAAGATCACAAAAGTGTATGAGCTGGGGAACGAGCCGGAGAGGAAGCTGTGGGTCGACCGCTACCTGACCTTCATGGAAGAGAGGGGTTCCCCAGTGTCCAGTCTTCCCGCAGTGGGCAAGAAGCCCCTGGACCTGTTTCGACTCTACGTCTGCGTCAAAGAGATTGGCGGTCTGGCGCAGGTGAGAACGCTCAGTGCTGAGCAAGTGTGCAGACAAGCCTTGGCATGGCTCCTTTGGGATGCTTCATTTTTGTTGCGGTTTTTTCACAGAAGAGAAGCTAAGCCTGTGGAAGGTCACCTTCCCAGGACCCTGTGGTGGCTGGAGAGGGCTAGGATCCCTGACTCTCCTACCACTCGTGTGATCTCGGTTTCCTCATCTGTACCAGATCACTAGCGTTTTTCCCCCAACAGCTCTAGAATTCTCTGGAATCTGCTACAGATTCATAGTAAATACTCCAGAAGTGTTTTAGAAATGACTAAATTCATCATGGGGATCAGATAAAAAAATCAAATTCACTATTTTAATTCAAACTGAGTCTAATGGGGCACACCTGTAATTCCATACTTGGAGAAAGGAGGACCAGGAGTCCAGGGCCAGCCACAGTGTCACTGAGGTTTCTGTGTCTCAGTTCTGTGGTTCTGGGAGTTACAGGACAAACCTTTGTTCTTGGCCTTCCCTTCAGTTACCTGCCCCGCCCCCCACTGAGGCCTAGGATAGACCCATTAGAACCTATCCTAACCACGCTGAGTTGTGTGTCACAGTCCACGTCACGTGCTGGATGGACCACCTCTCCTCCCTCTCCCTAGGAGCCCTGCCCCTCCCTTTCTGCCCTGTCTCCCCTAAATGCAAATCACCAAGATAAAGAGCAACTTGAATCCACTCATGCGGGGTCTGTGCAGCTCTGCTGCTGTAGCTCCTGCGGGACTGGGGCCTGTTGTTGCTGTCAGATGTGTTTATTGTTGTTGGGCACTAAATGAATGGACGTCAGGAGCCTTGTGCTACAGTTTGGATCTAGATGACCATTGCAAGCCACCCGACACAGCACACATCAAAAGCACAAGCCTCCATCTTCCCTGAACTATTTCTGTGTCTTTATGTTTTATTTATGCCTTTATCATTTCACAACCCATTCTTGGATAGGAACAAAAAAGTTGAAGCCATGCCCCCACCATCCTCTCTTGGGGTGCTGATTTCTTCAGCCTCATGTAATAAGCCCCGGAGGACACACACAAACCTGTGCCCCAGACACTAAGCTCCTGGCCAACACTCCAGCCAAGGAGCAGTAGCGCTGCTCTAGATACTTCCTGTGTCCATCCCTCAGGGAGCCTCAGTGAGAGCTCAATGGAAGGGTGTAGCCAGGGGCCCAGGGGCACATCCGGTGGATACTGGAAGGGAACATTACTTTTTCATCTAAGTATAGTGCTGTCATTGTTAGTGTTAGGCACCCTTTTAGAGATGGTGGGGATAGGTGTGTGTGTGTGTGTGTGTGTGTGTGTGGTGGGGGTGGGGGCTCCATTCATTCCTGGGACTCAGGAATCCGGAAGCTCTTATACAAATCTCTAGGAGATAGAGCAGGCAGAAGACCCCAGCAAGTGGGCTTTTATGTAGCCATCGGCAGGTTCCTTAATGGCTTTATAACTGTAATGCTGTCTGTGTGCTGCTGAGTGGGAGTGATGAGCATTGGTTAAAAGAGGCAAATTGAAAAAAGGAAGCCAAGACATTAAGTGCTTGTTTGTCTCCTGGCTTTAAACAAGCCACTTTGCTGCAAACCAACGATCCTGCCCGTTTTTTTGCTAGGTTAATAAAAACAAGAAGTGGCGTGAGCTGGCAACCAACCTAAATGTTGGCACTTCAAGCAGCGCGGCTAGTTCCCTGAAAAAGCAGTATATTCAGTACCTGTTCGCCTTTGAGTGCAAAATTGAGCGTGGGGAGGAGCCCCCGCCAGAAGTCTTCAGCACAGGGGATGCCAAGAAACAGCCCAAGCTGCAGCCACCATCTCCTGGTAAGTGACAGCTGGCTGAGCCAGACCCCAGGCCTGGGAGAGGAGCCGGCCTCCTCAGCTGTGCTTCAGAGAGGGAGATGCAGGGCTGCCCTTTGCTGCCCTCCGCATCAGACACTGAAGGCAGTACTCCCTGCCTCTCCTCTTCACCAGAGTCGACCTTCAAATCCTGGGCCACATACCTTTGTTTCTAGCACAAGGATTTACAAACATTCCATCCAGCCCTAGTCAGAGTAAACACCACATGAACCCATTCTGCTATCTTACAGCCCCAGTGCTGCCACCTTCAGGCCCAAGGGCTGGCTTGCACCACCTCTTCTGTCTGGGCCACTCAGATTTGTACTTTAAAAAGTGAAAAAAAAAAAAGTGAGATTGGACATAGTTTCTGCTGTTTCCTGTCCAGCAGGTTCTTACCTGGAAGGAATCCCTGCCGTATGGTGGAAAAGGCCCTTGCGTGCCGTCATGAGGCAACTCCTTGCCCCTCCACCCACGCTTTTCAGTTCTCCCTTTGGCCTTCGTCCCCCCATAGACTTTCAAGTGTGGAATTAGCAAACACTGTGTGCTGGTAACTCCTGCATTAGAGACAGGAAGACACTGGCCTCCTGCTCACTCAGGAAAGTCCCACCATTCCTGGTTTCTGGTCACCGGTCGGTCATCAGAGATCACATGGAAGCCTAGGTACCCTTCAGCACCGTGAGCAGGCTTCCAATTGCTGCACGAGGTGGAGACCGCGCTGATCCAGCAAATGGCCGGCCCTGAAGCTAGCTGACAGCCATGTTCCTCGAGCATGTACACTTCTGTATCCTTATTTTATCTTCACATCAGCCCTGGATGCAGGAGCAATTTAAATGTCCCTGAGATGAAGTCTTAGAACCCCAAACCACACAGTGAGGGTGCAAGAGCCTGTTTTGGGCTGTTTGGCCACATGTTCACTGAGCCCTCCAGACAGCTCAGCCTAGATGGGAATGCCTTTGAAGCAGGCCTCATATTTACATCTAGAAGGCCCAGGAAGAACTCTGTGCACTTCTAATGATTCTCTGGCTACTGTTGGCATTGCTAAGCTGCTACTGTTGGCAGTGAAGAGGTCTCAGATGAGTACAGCCAGCCGTGCACTACCCTGCCCATCCCTAGATGTAGGCCTGCCAGGTGGAAAAACCCTCCCCCGCAGCCTCACCCTTAATGATCCGAACGGTCACCATTCTGGGTGTACCTGAGCACTGGACAGTCTAATTTTAAAACCCACACAACATCACATTCAGTTCACAGAATGAAAGAAGCTGCCCATGAACAGCGCTGAGACTATTTTTCTAAAATAAAAGCCCCAGTGGGGTGCAGAGTCCAGAGCAGTAGTATCTGCAAAGATCTAAAGATGCATTTTATTCGTGAGGAAAGAAGTCGTGTCCCTGAATGGCCTGCACTTGTGTGGAGAATAGCTCTCCCAGCATGCCTCAGCCTCAGTACAGGAGGCCCTGCCGGGGTACAGACCCTGCAGAAAGTGGAGGCCTGTTCCCTCGAAAGCCAGCATTTCTCTTTCCCTGGCTTAAACCACTGCCTCTGTGGCAACATTATCCTTTCAGCTGCACAAAGGAGCGTGGCTTGGGCAAGCATTCTTGGTCCAGATGGAGCCAGGGTCCTGCTGTGATGTGGGAATTTAGGAGCAAAGCTGCATCCCAGAGAATGCATGCCCTGGGCTCTGGACCACACAGAGCCCATCCAGGGGACAGTGAGCACCAGTATCCTGGCCCATGGCCGGGTCTGTGTGACAGCCCTACATGCATCAGATGGCCTCCCTGGCTCCAGACCCTTGTTGAGATGGTTGAAGAAAATTATTCCTGTGCCAGGATGTTTTCTTGATCTCGCCAAAACTTCTGTGCCAGCACATGCAGGCAAACTAAAGCAAAGATTTCTAATGAATATTCTACCTTGTTCTCCCACCCGCCACCGGGTCAGTTATTCCTAAATCATATATCTGTGTTCTGAGAGGATTCCAAATTTTGGGTCTCTGGCCAGTTTTAATTGACTGTGGCTTTATGAATCTAAAGCTGAGTTCAGTCAAACCTTGGAGGCTTGTCCCCTTAGCCTCTGCAGCTGCATCCTCCAGACAGACACTCTGCAGACAGATGCACCCCTTGAACTCCGTCAGGGCCTTGGCATGAAGTCTGCATGTCTAAGGTGCCAGTGGGATCCTCACACTGAACTTCTCAAAGTTGGTGGAAGTTTAGTCAACAGCAGGTGGCCCCAGCAGACTTGGGGAACTGGAGCTGAGGAGTGGGGCAGGCGGAGACAAGGAAATGCCATTCAGCTAGTGAGTTTGTAACCCAAAACCCATCAGTTTCTGCTGGCAGGTCGCTGACTGCATCTCTATTATTAGCTGACAAGTGATGTCACAAAACCTGTCATGGTTCCAACTAGGGAATCCTCAGAGGAAGACAAACGAGAAAGGGGCCGCAGTAACAAAGGTGCCCTCTGGGTGACCTCTAGTCACTAGAACAGGGACACCTCAGCTGTTCTTCTCACACTGTTCCCCGCACCCCCTCCCACCAGAACTGGGGCACCAGGTTCATGCTGTGTAAATTATCTTCCCAGCCAGGAGCCTGGCCGTTCCCCTCTGAAGTGTGTGAACTGCACTTAACCTTCAGTAACCTTTCCATTGTTTACTTTAGAGCATACATTTGTAGCTTCTGGCAAAAGGTGGGGATATCCTAGAGAGCCAGCAGCCTTCTCTGCTAATGGAGTTGGGAGAGGGTGTATTCATTTTCTTTTCCTGAAAGGAAAAACACTGGCAAGAAAGGAGAATTTTTTTCTTTGTTTGTTTTTTATTAGCTATAAATGTGACTGCTCTATAAATAAGGTCATTCTAGCATCACAGCAGGCTGCGAGCCATATTTCCAGGGAAGTGACGGAGGCGTTGATAGGACTGGCCGTGTCCTAAAAGGCTCCTTGCTCACTCGTTGCAGCCTGCCTTCTTAGTGCACATTTCCAGAGTGGAGTGCTTGTTATTTAGCTTTTCTCCCTCCACGAGGAGGGAGTCGGCTTGGATCCTGAAGCCACCCCTAAGTCATCCTGAGCCCCACATACACTGTGGGCAGCCAGTCAGGCCGAGGGACTGGGCAGCCCCCATCCGACAGATAACCAAGGCTTGCTAAGAACAAGTCCAGAGGAAACCTTCCCACATCACCTGCCCCTGCTCTTCTCGCTGTGCCCTGTCTGTTCTCTACCCCCTCTGTCCTCCCTTTCAGACAGTCTGGTCTTGTCTGCTGGCCATGTTCGGTCTACTTCTGCCTTGGCCCTGGGCTCTTCCATATGCCTGTCTGTTCTCTCGTTCTCATGTCTCCAATAAAAACTTTAATCAGATCACAGAGAGGTCGTTTGAGCCGTTTCTTTACATACATACATACATACATACATACATACATACATACATGCAGTGTCTCTTGCGTACATAGCGATGCCCACTTTTCCCATTTCTGACGCCTTCGTTAAGAAATGGCTTAGGACTTCTTTACCCCTCATTTCCTCTGAACTAAAACAAGCACTGGAGCGAGGCTTGTCCCCTCCTCCATAGGACAGCAAGTGTCATTTCCCACGTGCTGGCAGTCTGCACTGCTCAATCCCAGGCAGTTGTGCAGATGCCATAAAGATGGGGTTGTGTGGCCTTTGTCAGTTGGCTACACTGTGGGTTCATCTGTTGAAAAGGGCCTAGATGCACCAGACACAGATTCCCCCGATTGTTCCTGTCTGATGGGTACATGGAGCCAACATCTATCTATTGAACATCTAGCATGCTAAAGACTACAGTAGATGATGAAGTGGGCAAGGTTAACTAATAACCCACTTGAGTTCTGAAAGGGCTCCCTTCCAAATGCTGTGACTCTCAAGTAACTGTGGTGGAAACAGTCTCAGAAGCCCAGCAGCAGGATTGAAGAACTAACCGCAAGCCAGCCTGATGTGCATCTGTAATAACAAATCTTACAGCTCAAATGAGTATTTTTAATGATAGAGCATAGATGTCCAACTGTTGAAAAGATATTAAAATAGTGTAAGGTGCCTTGTTAACCTACATAACCACTTTTGAGCTGCAGACATGCCCTGCTGCGCTGCAGAACCCGTGTTCTGAAGCACTGTATTACAGACCATCAGACTGATGTGCCAAAATTCTCGTCCCATTTCTCCTTTATTTACATGTAGAGTATTTCCAACAACGCTGAGTTAAACAATTTTCTGCCTAAAGCCTTCTTTTTCTTAGACTCCTTTTCCCCGGGATAAATACCCCAGGAAGCAATTACCCAGTCAAACGTATAACTATATTTTATGGCTCACAAATGAAGTATGTTTCTAAATCGTTTATTCCGAAATATTCCTTTTCTGGCTGATGGGGGTAGAACTCAGAGCAGAGCATTTGTCTTAGCGTGTGAGCCCTGTCTTCCACCCTTGGAATACGCATGCTCTCTCTCTCTCTCTCGCTCTCTCTCTCTCTCTCTCTCTCTCTCTCTCTCTTTCGCTCTCGCTCTCGCTCTCTATCTCTCTCTGCCCCTCCCTCCCTCTCTCATTCCATCCCCTTAATAAAAGCAACATATAAGTGACTGATTTTACTACATTGTTGCTATGTTTCCAAAAATGTCTTCCTTTTAATCCTTTCATATACATGGCTGTCAAATTACTCTACTCAATAACTCTAGCTTCTTCCCTTATTTTCTTTGACCACTGCCAGCTAACTCAGGATCCTTACAAGGCCCGCAGACTCCACAGTCAACTGGCAGCAATTCAATGGCAGAAGTTCCCGGTGACCTGAAGCCACCAACCCCAGCATCTACCCCTCATGGACAGATGACCCCCATGCAAAGTGGAAGGTATGTTCCGGGGACTCTGAGATGTAGACTCGGACACCTAATAGAAAACAGTGTTGTTCCCTGGTTAGTTTTTACGAGTTTAGTTCTGCTAGTTTTAGCATATAGTAGTGGTTTATTTCTCAAGCTCAGTGTGTGTAGCTCGTGCCGCGGGGTCATTCAGCTTTCGTCTTTTGCATCTTTCAGGAGCAGTACAATCAGTGTGCACGACCCATTCTCAGACGTGGGTGATGCGGCATACCCAAAACGGAACTCTATGACTCCAAATGCTCCGTACCAGCAGGGCATGAGCATGCCAGACATGATGGGCAGGATGCCCTACGAGCCCAACAAGGACCCCTTCAGTGGAATGAGAAAAGGTACAGAGAACAGGGTTTCTGCATGGACATGGTCCAGAAGGCTTTCTTCTCGCCACTGCCTCACAGCCTAGTCACCTGTTCATTTGGGACACATCTGAGTGCCTGCCATTTAGTAGCTCAGCCTCACTTCCTTGCTTAAGCTATAGCTGTAGAAAAACATAGCTTCTTTATGTCTTACTTGCCTCATCTAGAAATGGTGACAGTGGTAGAGCCCGGGTGTGCTGAAAGGGGTGAGTCCATGCATAAGAGCCAGTGGAAGAACCGTGGACTCCATGGTCAGGAGGTGCCCCCTCTCCCGCATCATCAGCATCGTGTTAGCGTGTGCTGGGCACTGTGTAGTGTGCCTGTGGCTCTTACATAGCTCTTGACGGACTTAACAAACTTAGAGGGAGAAGCACAGAGGCCGTGACTGAAGGAAAAAGCAACAGGAAAGCTTGGACATGCAGTGATGTTGTACGAATGCATCAGAGGAGGGCAAAGGTCCTGACCTGGAACTCTGTGTAGAGCAGACTGGCCTCAAATTCACAGAGATCCACCTGCCTCTGCCTCCCAGGTGCTGGGAGTAAAAACGTGTGCAACTATGTATACCAGCTGTGAGTTTTGTGATAGCCATAAGTGGAGGGAGGGATGCATGAAGCTCCAGCTTGGTTTTGATGAGTATTACGGCCTATAAAAACAGAAGAATCTCAACATCTGTAGCATTGGGTGTGTACTAGCAAGCAAATGAGATTTAGAATATTTCAAGCATATTTCAGAGATCAGTTGCATAAAGCAAGATAAACTGTAATTTTTCCTTTCAAGAGTCTTGGGGCTACTTCTAAATACAGGTTTTCAGAATATACAATAAATCAAATAACCTTGAGATAGAAAGACGTGTTAGCAGTGCCTGGGTTTTAGTGGTGTGCGAAGAGATTTTGGGTCCATATCCCTCGTTTAGACTCTAGACATGTAACAATAACATGGAAAAACCAGTCTCTGGTGTTTGGGGTGGGACCTCTATGCCCCTCCTCCCTGTGGAGGTAGCCATCGGGGAAAGCACTTTCCACACAAACAGGAGGGCCTGGATTTGGATCTCCAGCAAGCACATAAAAGCTGAGTGTGGTGGAGATACCCACAGCTCCAGCTCTGTGGGGCCGAGACCGGAGGATCCCCAGACTTTGCTGGATATCCAGCCTAGCTGAGTTCCTGAGCCCCACATTCAGTAAGAAAGAGCTCATCAAGAGTAAGATGGGGACTAGAGGGGACTTAGCTCCGTGTGGGTGTGCACCTGTGCATATGCACAAACTGGATTTGTGCAGTTAGGGGAGCAAGCAGAGAGCTGAGCTGCTGGAGAGTAATGCGTCTTCATCAGCCACACGTCATAGATAAATGGCGATCCTTTTATATTCAGCTCGCCTCCTGCCCCATAGCATTGGGGCAGAAACGCAGTCCACGGGAAAGATTGTCCTCCATCTCTAATTTGTTGTAAATAATATTTTCTATTCTTCACTTTGCCTTCTTCTACCACTCAGGCCAATTTGGTCAGTGGAAGCCACTGTTGGTGGCGTCGCTATCATTGGCCTGTGACTGGGCGGTACAGTGAGTCAGTCTGGTCTCAGGACCCTTAGCCTGTGGAGGCGGCTGTGCCTGCGCACCACCAACCTCCAACCCGCTTGTTTCCTTCTCTCTCTGAAGCTCTGGCCATGGTACCAGTGCCTGAGCATCTGTTAACATCCATACACATAGCTATGCTTCATCTTTAACTAGACCCTGGTGCTGGAGCACTGGCCGGGCCATTTCCTCCCGTTTTGCTCATGCAAAACAGTTGTTGAAATAAGCTGTTCCTGTGGTCTCCATGAGATAGGAGATGGATTTTTGAGTCAAAGAATAGAAATGAAGTATCTCGGTCATCTTTCATGATATTGCAAACTGCTCCAACCTCCCTGACTTGAGTCAGCACAACTTCCCTGTGTCTCAGGACATTGACAGCCTTTGCTAGGGTCCAGCTAGAGTCTGGGACCTTCCTGTGCAGTGTCTAGGGCATCCTTGTCATACTGTCACACAGTGGAGGGGTGTTCCAAGAAGATTGCTTGCATCCATTCTCCTGATCCTGTTGGTCAGCCCCAGCCATGTCACCCAGCCCAGTGTCACTATAGGGAAGGGAACTTCATGGGCTGTGAACACACATAGATGTGCTCTGTGTGTGCCAGGGGGTGGCTGCCCACATCAGGGACCGGCAGAAGTTGCAGCGGTTACAGGCACTGGCAGGAGCGTGCAGGTGTGTGGGCCCCGCTTACTAAGCTGATTCTTAACCAGCCACCGGAACATCTGCCAATCAGATCGTGACTTAAATTTCTACAGTGAGGCCACACGTCGGTCACATGCTGAGTGGACAATTTAGTTTCCTTTTTCTGTGAATGGCTTTTTCTTGTTTTTGACTTACCATCTTTTGTTGGTGGTGTTGTTGATTTTTTTTAAGATGTCTTTGTGTATTAGGGAATTAAACTACTTTACTTTAATTATGACACTTGACTTCTGTCTGTCTCTATCTTTCCATCTATAAAATGGAACATAATTCTCAAAACTGGTTCTACCACAAGTTGCTGTGAACTCAGACAGAGAGAAGGTGGAGACTGTGATATTCCTGCGTTGGCCTCAGCCCTTGTGGCTGGTCTACGGTGTGACAGCATTGACTCAGATCTTCAGTCAGCTTTGCTTCACTTAGACGTAGCTGTCAGAGTCATTACACGTTAAAATGTTTCAAATACTTGCAGGAAGTGATGGACTTAATACTGCTTTCTTCAGGCTCTGAGCTGGTGCTCATTTGCATATGCAACCTCTTTGGGGGTCTGCTTTTTGACAGAAATAAGTCAGGGCTCGTCCCATCTTCAACTTTCCTCTTTTCTTTTTTTTAAATATAAATATGTATGTATGTTCAAACTAATGTAAGTGCTTCCAAAGGCCAGGAGGGAGCCTCAGATCTCCATAGAGTTACAGGTCATGGTGAAACACCAGGCACTGTAGATGCTGGGAACTGAACTCTGGTCCAGCAAGGGCTATAGCCAGTGAGCCATGTCTCCAGCCCCTTGAGCTCTTGTGAATGCATGTTTATGGCAAGGGTTTCTGGCTTTTCCTTATAGAAGTGGGAACTGCTTTAAACACATATTATATGTCTTGTTTACAGTCCCTTCATGAGCTGGTATCACCTTGTTCTATAGACAGTAGCCAACATAAGCATTAGTAGCTTCTGCATCACTGCATAGCAGGCGACACTGACCACACCTATGAAAGCAGGAGTATAGGCGCTCCGGGGAGTCAGGAGTAGGTTTGGCCTCTGCTCTCAGTCTCACACAGAACCTAGGTGTCAGCCAGGACTTCTGAGTTCCAGGTCCCCTTCAGGTTCTTCAAGTTGTTGGCAGAATTTATTCCTTAGTCTCTTATGGTTATGGGACCAAAGCCACCGTCCTGTTGTGGGCTGATCTCTGTCCACCCTTCAGGATGTCCGTCTTTCGATGATAGAACCAGTAGGAGAGAGTCAGAAAGGCTCCATAGTCAGCCTTGAGCCCCAGATTTGAAGGGTGAATGCACAGCCAACTGTAAACATCACCACAGCTCTGAGTGTTTCTTGCTGTGGAGCATACCGTAACCATGGAGCCAAGCCCAGCCTGTTTCTGGGCCTGCCCAGGTCAAGATCAGAGGTTCGTGCAAACACCTGGGATGCAGGTGTCTTTGAGGCCATCTCAGGATTCCGCCTCCTTGGGAAGACTTCATATCCTTTCATTAGGATTGTGGTGTGTCATACAACATATAGGGATCACAGAAATTTCTAGAAGGGGGTGTGTAAGTCCTATGAGTCTTAGAAATTGCTTAATTCTCTGCCTTTGTTTTTTTTTTTTTTTTTTTTTTTTTTGAAAAACCACAGTGCCTGGAAGTAGCGAGCCCTTCATGACACAAGGACAGATGCCCAACAGCAGCATGCAGGACGTGTACAACCAGAGTCCCTCAGGTGCCATGTCCAACCTAGGCATGGGGCAACGGCAGCAGTTTCCCTATGGAGCCGGTTACGACCGAAGGTGAGTGCTTTTGGTGAGATGAGACAATTTACCAAAAACTGCTTTCCTCGGATGCACACTTCTGAGCCCTAGTGGCAGCACAGTAACCATGTCCAGCGGCTACTTACAGGGGGTGGCCTCAGCCAGACCCTGAAGAACTTGGTCTCGGACAGTCGGGGGCTGTTATTTATGAGCAGCTGTTGGCAGCAGACCTCAGATTCTGGTGTCCTGGCGTGACTGGCAGGCCACTCTTCCCCCAGAACTCAGGAGCCACGACATACCACACCCGCCCACCCAGGACCAGCATCCCCCCGAGGTGGCTGTTGTTACCATAGTGAGACCGCCTAGATGTGCCTGTAAATTCTGTCAGCTCCCCGGGGTTTTCAGTACCCGGCTCTCCTCCCCCACACTCCCTGGGATACCTAGGATATTACACTTGGCTCTCCGGCTTTCCAAGTTCTGGACCAAGAGTGGATTTTATTCTTAACAGATATCTCAGGGACTCAAGAGTCTCTCCTTGAATCCATTTTGATATCCACATGACAGGCCGAGCCACAGGATCACTGTTATACCGATTATACTTAGGTAGGAAGCCAGTGGATCTCACAAGAAGGCCATCAGAAGCATCATCCTTCAGTGGTGACAGCGACAGGCTTCCTTCATGAAGAGATCTCTCTCTTGTACTGGTGTATTCTTCCCTAGTGAGACATGCTCCAGGCAGGCCTTCAGCCTGTGGCGTGTACTTGGGATCTGTGAAGCACACAAGAGGAGCGGGCCTTGTCCTCTCTGCAACTGCCGTGTGCTGGTAAAGGACAAGAGGGATTTGAGTCCCTTCCTCCATGATATGGTTGGTGTCTGCCCAGGGTCGCATGACTACACTCAGGCCCTCACCAGCACACCTGCTAGAGCCAGGAGAGGTGATGTGTGGAGAGGGGCTCAGAACAAGGAGTGGGTGTGAAAATAACTGTTACACCTAGTCAGGTCTCCCTGGGGTCTTCCCAGAGCCTGGCTCTTAAAGTACAGTGCCACTGGGAACCAGGTAACATGGTTGTTGACAGAGATTTCTGTCCCACCTGGTCCCGCAGCCATTTGTCCCAAAGAAATACACAGGCTTACATTAATTATAAACTGGTTGGCCCATTAGCTCAGGCTTTCTTATTAACTAATTCTTACATCTTAAATTAGCGCATAATTCTTGTGTTAGCCATGTAGCTTGGTGCCTTTTATCAGTGAGGCATTCTCATCTTGCTTCCTCTTGGTCTGGGTGATGACTGCAGATTCAGCCTTTCCTCTTCCCAGAATTCTCCTGTTCTGATCGCCCCGCCTATACTTCCTGCCTGTCTACTGGCCAATCAGCATTTTATTAAACCAGTACAACTGACAAAACTTTACAGGGTATAACACCATTGTCCCACACATGGTGGTTTTCAGTGTTCATACCCTGACTGTGTGTGATGACATCAATCTGTGAGCCATCACAGATGCCTAGTGCATGGAATGGGGGTCACAGTTAGCTGGGGGTCACAGTTAGCCGTGGATCACAGTGTGGATCACTTGTACATGGGATAAGGGATCAGCTGGGGTCTAGAATCAAGTAAGTGCTGCTGGTTTTCCCCAGTGAGATTAGATAGTTGTGCAAGGACAGACACTCCCAGAGAATTCCAGTTAGCTTGCTCTCCTTCTGCTGCAGAGGCTGGCTTTGACTAGTCCATCTCAGAGCCTGACCTCACTGTTGGCAATCTTCTGAAAAAGTGTTACCTGCCTATCTTAAGTTTTACTCTTGTCAGTTATCGTTCTTTTCTCTATCCTCCCTTCTAGAGTCTTCTCCTATTTTCGTTTCTTGATCAGATTAATAATATATCCAGTTCAGTTACTCTCCCCTCCAACAAGATCCAGTCTTTCTAAATTAAGCCAGTTTGTTGTCATAGCTCCAGCTCTGTTACCCCTGAGAATGTTAGCTTCGTGGCACTTATGATTTCTGAATGAGAGAGCAGTTGCAAAGGAAAACTGTCTATTTCTGAGCGACGATTTGATAGGAGTTTCAGTCGCTACTAGTATCCTTTTCCATACCCTTTGTCATTAGGAACTTAGAATTTTGACCACTCCTCTGCCAGGGTTAGCATCTGGGGACTCACCACAGAATCTAGCTTTAAAAACTGAAGCATGTCTGTCCTCAGTGAGAAGGGAGAGGAAGTCGCATCGTCCATATTCTTATACTTCTAGAAATGCTGCCTCTGAACTCTAGTTAGTTCCTTCTTCTGACTCCCATGACAACACCATGCGGCACTCGCCAGTGAGTGGGTGGTGCTTCCGCCTCGAAGAGGCCACAGCCAGGACAAGTACATACAAGGTCCTGCCTGTCCGACCGGTATTCCTCTGACACCTATTAGCAACAGCCTGAGCTGGGAGTTTGGCTGCTCTCCTAAGATGGGTGTTACCATCCCTGAAAGAAACTGGGCTCCAGCTGTGGAGTCCTGCTCTGTTGGAAGTAGTGCATGTGGGGAGAAGGCAGAGCCATTGGGTAGAGCGTCTGGAAATGGGCTGTTCGTGTCTTTGTTTGCCGCAGGTTCCGTGTAAACTAAGTTTTCTTTGAATACCTTGATCTAGGCATGAGGCTTACGGGCAGCAGTATCCAGGCCAAGGTCCTCCCACAGGACAGCCGACGTATGGAGGACAGCAGCCTGGCCTGTACCCACAGCAGCCGGTGAGTGGAGCAGTGGGTGTGGGCCTGTTTTCCCTTTGTCTTTCTTAGGAAGATTTGGGGAGGGCCAGCAGCAGCTGTGCGCTCTCCCCAGTAGTCAGAGAGGTTGGCTAGGAAGTACTCAGAAAACTGAAGACAGCTCTTGATATGTAGTGTGCTGGGATACGTAACGCATGCTGGGCACGTGTCTGAGGTCACTCCATGTTCCAGATCCATGAGCTGAGCCAACCACAGGTCAAAAGACAAGTGTGCAGAGCGTGTGCATACATTTCCTTCATCCTCGTTCTCTGAACGAGTAGGCACAGCTATTGAGATGGCATTCGCTTGCCCTGCGCTGTGATCCCAGTCCTCTAGAAATAACTCAAACAACAGAGTGTGTTTAGATGGCAGAGAAAAGCTTGAGCCTTTGTCTCCAAGGGACTTGAATGTCTGAATGTGGCCCGCGGGAGTCCCGGGACCAGTCTCTGTAGATACCCAGGGACAACTGTCTGCTAGTCAATCCACTGTAGGACATGAATGTGCCATACTGAAAAGAACCCAGACTGTTGTAGACCAAGCCTAAGAGCTGACTCTTAGATTCGAGCAATGGGCCGTGCGTGCCCGTGATACCGACATCACCTATTTTGCTGGGCACTACTCTAGTGACTGTGGAGCCCGTTGCCCCCCTGACATGCACTCACTAAAATTTTTCTTTAAAATAATAACTAATGACATATTTTAAGTAATAGGGTAGCTCATGCTGGCTCCCATCTGAGTCATGTAAAAGTCACAGTGACCTTGAGGATGGAACTTCAGATGTGACCTCAGACACTGCATCCAGTTGTTGCTGAGCTACCTTTTTGATCTGGAATCTCTGGCAAAAAGAGAAGACACACACACACACAGAGAGAGAGAGAGAGAGAGAGAGAGAGAGAGAGAGAGAGAGAGAGAGAGAGAGAGAGAGAGAGAGAGAGAGAGAGAGAGAGAGAGAGAGAGAGAGAGAAATTGTCTAGGAATTTTCCAATAACAAAGTCGTTTTGAAATATTCATTTACTTCCGGAGCATACCTTATAGTTGTTGAATCAGCTTAATGTAAGCAGTTTGAAGTGAAGTGAAACAGCATGGTTCACCCTCAGCATCTCTGCTTCCCATCAGGAAGTCCCACCCACGTGATGGGCACTGGTAAGAGATGAGGGGAAGGAGTTGTATGGAGGGACCAGGATGGGTTTCTTGGAGAACTGGACCTGGACAGTAGGCAGAAACCAGAATATGGTCACCAGGTATGGTGGCCCAACCTGAGGAGCTGTGTGTGCATAGATGTATTGCCATCTGTTGGGGGTTCCCTTTGGTTCAGAGCCTCCCAGGGCGACCTTGGGATCTCCCGCCTGCTCCTGTAAGGCAGAGCATCTCTCGGTTCTGTCTGTGCACATGTGCTGCTGTGGTGGTCACCCATGCTGTGCTGCCCCTGTGTTGCAGCCCAAGGAGAGGGGTCCTTGTTTTTGTCTAACAACGTTTCATATCCATGGAAGCAAAGTTGAGAAGCCCTCCTCAGAGTGTGTGGTGATACTGAAATCCAAGCCTAAATTGCCAGTGCTTGTCAGTGTGTAAGAGCGTCCATATTTGTTTGGAAATGAACCATCTACCCAGTAATAACTATTTTGCATAATTGAGTGTGTATGATTATACCTCTAAGAGTACATCAGTATGTTTTGTCTGTATATGAATTTCAGAATTACAAGCGCCATATGGATGGCATGTACGGGCCTCCAGCCAAGCGCCATGAGGGGGACGTGTACAGCATGCAGTACGGCAGCCAGCAGCAGGAGGTGTACAACCAGTACGGGAGCTCTTACTCTGGCCCGGACAGGAGGCCCATCCAGGGACAGTATCCCTACCCCTACAACAGAGAGAGGATGCAGGGCCCAGGCCAGATGCAGCCACATGGAATCCCACCTCAGATGATGGGTGGCCCCATGCAGTCAGCCTCCAGCGAGGGGCCGCAGCAGAACGTGTGGGCAGCACGCAACGATATGCCTTATCCCTACCAGAACAGGCAAGGTCCAGGTGGCCCTGCGCAGGCGCCGCCTTACCCGGGCATGAACCGAACGGATGATATGATGGTACCAGATCAGAGGATCAATCATGAGAGCCAGTGGCCTTCCCACGTCAGCCAGCGCCAGCCTTACATGTCGTCGTCGGCCTCCATGCAGCCCATCACGCGCCCGCCTCAGTCATCCTACCAGACGCCACCATCGCTGCCAAACCACATCTCCAGGGCGCCCAGCCCCGCCTCCTTCCAGCGCTCCCTGGAGAGCCGCATGTCTCCAAGCAAGTCTCCCTTCCTGCCCACCATGAAAATGCAGAAGGTCATGCCCACAGGCCCCACATCGCAGGTCGCTGGGCCGCCCCCTCAGCCACCGCCAATCAGAAGGGAGATTACCTTCCCCCCTGGCTCTGTGGAAGCGTCACAGCCAGTCCTGAAACAAAGGCGAAAGATCACCTCAAAAGACATTGGTGAGTTTGGAAGGGGTGTTCTGAAAATGGGTTGTCTTTTCAATCTGAAACTTCAATTTAGATGTCATTTCCATCCATTCAATTGGATGAGATTCTTAATAATACGAATTACCAGGATATTTACATATGGGAGCGTTGATTAGCCCACTCATCTGAATAAGAAACAGGCCAGAGAAGAGCCTGCATTGAAATAATGATACTTCTAGGTGCAAAGGTTGCGTGTGTGAGAGACAGACGCTTCAAGGAGAGACTCAGGACTCCTGAGTAGTCACGTGCTGTGCGTTGGCTTCAGATTTAGGCCTAACCAAGCCACTTAATTGCTGCAGCGAATGCTTAAGAGGCCCACTGTGAGGCTGAGGGAGTTGAAGGCAAGCCACTCTGGTGACAGTGTAAGCTGAGCTTCTCTGGGGAAGGGCGGAAGCCTGGCCGTGGTGTATAGATGGATAGATGTGATGTGTGGTGCCTTCTGCTATGGTGTCTGGAGCTGCGGTAGTCCACACCACGCCGGCAGATACAGGCCGAGGAGTTGGCCTCTGCTGAATACTAATGCGCTCGCCCGTCCTCTATGAGACGACGGGAATACTGATTAGTGGTCTGGAGTGTCTGGAGTAAGCACAGCTTCCTCTGCAGTTATTGTGAAGTTCTTTAACACAGCATAGGAAATAATAGCTCTTGGTTGTATAAGAAAAAAACTTTTTCAGAGATTTTGGAATCACTTGACTTCAAATCATTTGCAGTGATGAGAAAATTGAATAGAGAGTAAAGATGCTGTCAGTTGTTGGGTATAAGTAGGTACACAGTGAGAAAAACGGCATCTTTTATATATGGATCTGTAGGGGAGATGCTGGAGCATGGATACTGAGCCCAATTTTATAGAGATTTTAAAATGAAATAGATATTTATGTTTGTGTGTGTTGTGTGTTTAAATAGATACATATATCTACTTTTTTAAAGATGTAGTTGTTTTTATTTTATGTGATTTTTGCCTGCATGTGTATCTGCACTATATGTATGCACTGCCCATGGAAGCCAGAAGAGGGCGTTAAATCCCAGGACTGGCGTTCCAGATGGTTGTTAGCTGCCATTTGGCTGCTGAAACCCCAACCCTGCTCCTCTCCAAGAATAAGTGCTCTTGACTGCTGAGCCATCTCTCCAGCCCAGTATCTGTTTCTGTTTTGTTTTGTTTTTACCTCTTAGCTCAGTTTCTATCAGTGCTTGCCTTCAGCTTAGGGAAGTTTATGTTCCTTAGTTTCTAAAGTCTGATTCTTTGTATGACAAAAGTCATGTTTTAAGACAAAAATCTTAAAAAGCTTGTAAAACAAAATCACAGCAATGATGTCTTTGGACACACCTAAATACAGCCCCCCCCCCATCACACTCACGTGCACCGTGCACGGCACCACCTGTAGTTGTGGTGAGGGGGTACACCAGGCTCCCTCTCAACCTCGGGGTCACATCCAAGGCCCCCGAAGGCCTCCTGAAGAGCTCCCACTGCACACTCCGGGCATGGGGAGCCCCCAGTGTGGCCCCACTCTCTCAGCAAACCTGATAGCGTCATTTGCTCACTTCTGAAGGCAGGAGTAGGAACAAAAGAAATGCAGGCTTCCCGCCTCCCTGTCCTTGGCTCAGCCACACCCTGAAAACAGACGATCAGGGTGCCTGGTTGCGGCCACAGTATGTTCAGATGAAGGGGCATGGAGGTGAGAGAAACAGTGCCGGAAACCCAGACCTCTGTCTAAGGCTACACTGTCTGGGGCTTACATTTTCCTCTAATTCCACAAACTTGCCAGTCTCAAGATGCCACCTTGAGGTCCTTTTGAGTGAAGGAGGCAAAAGAAGACAGCTCTGCTGGGGGTTCCACCGTGCAAACCTGGTGCCCCCTACTGACTCTTATGTGGCAGAACACCCAAGATGACAAGGACCTGCTGGCCCGGTCCTCCCACAGCTAGAAGCTCTTAAGGCTTCTGTTTAACCCCCAACGTGAAAGAACAAAGTACCCACAGGGTTAGCATCTTCAGCTAGTCAGGCGGCAGCCGTGGCTGACTGCGAGCGTTTGTGTGCAGCTGGGCTGCAGCCCACACCCTGCTCTTCCTCTAGGGCAAATGTTCACAGTGTCTGTCCTCTTCTCCTGTTTAGTCACTCCCGAGGCGTGGCGTGTGATGATGTCCCTGAAGTCGGGTCTGTTGGCCGAGAGCACCTGGGCTTTGGACACCGTCAACATTCTCCTCTACGACGACAGCACTGTCGCCACCTTCAACCTCTCCCAGGTGAGGCAGCCACAGTGCAGCTTGCAGCAAGTTAGCGTGTTACACAGTTAGTGGTGCACAGTTCTTGTGCTGGTGCCTCAGCTGATGAGCAGGGCCTGTCCAAGACTTTGAATCACTGTGGTTAGTATGGAGCAGATTCATCAACATGGAGTTGCCTGAGGACTTAGTCTGGGATGAGAATTCCATCGCTGGTGTGTGTGTGTGTGTGTGTGTGTGTGTGTGTGTGTGTGTGTGTGTGTGTTAGCAGTAAAGAATTTGTCACATTTGTTTGAGGCAGTCTCTCATGTGGCCTGGCCTTGATCCCCCCATGCTGCAGTTTTTTCCCCCAGTAGAAAATGGGTAACTTATTATGTAAGAGAATAGAGTTCGATGATCCCTATGTCCCCACCATGTGACAGAAATGATCAGGGACTGACGGCCTTGCCTGCCTCCAGGTCTGCCTCCCTTCTGCCTTTCTCCTGGCTGTTCTGAAGCAGTCGTTCAAAATCTTGCTGCTTAACCCTATCTGAAACCCTCTGTTCAGAGTAGCTTGTAGCAGTGTGATTGACAGATCAAGAACCCTGAGAAAGATTCCAGTCACTGGGGCTGTGGCCTTTAAGAGGTGCTGACAGTAAAACTGAGAGGCCGGCTCTCTTTGTGAGGTGTAAACCGCTCAGCCCCCGAGGATGCTGGGCTGCCCATTCCTTTCCTGCTATTGAATAAGACCAGCACTCTCCACCACCCGTTTCTTTCACCATGTCTTCCGTGCAGCCCAAGAGACAATTCTAAGTTGGTAGAATAAATTAAAGTGTCACAAACATTGCATTATCTGGTGGTGGTGTTTTGTTTCTAAGAAAAACTTAAATAATGTGTCCAGCCTTTTCTAGAACCTTCACCTCGTGACAGGTGAACTCTGGCTGGTCCTGCATTCTTAAACCCGGAAGTGTTTGATTAACGTGCCCTTTACTAGGGAAGAGATAAACTTGTAAAAGGGAGGGGCCACCCAAGCTTCACGTGGGAGAATTCCTTTGGGAGCACCAAAATGACTGTTTGGTACAGCTTGTGTCCCCTCACCCCGGGACAGAGTCCCAAGCCCCTTCCAGGGAACATAGATGCGCAAGTGTGGGCAGCTCCATAGTGTCTGTCATACAGGAGCATGCCGTGTGCAGCCTGAGTATGGCCGGAGCGAGCAGTGTGAGCAGGAGGGCTCGCTCATCTTTCCACACGCCGGGCCTCTCTGCTAGTGATGCCTGTCTTTCACTAACTTTACCAATAACTGAAATGTAAAATTGCATCTTATGGAGCAGTTTCATTCGCTTATCAGGGACTGAATTGATTTGATTATAATTTTCACTGTTTATGAGCAATACATTGCTCAAATTATCTCCTCCAAAAGGTATAGAGAGAACATAAGTTAGGGCAACCTATGAAACCTGAGACAAAAGTAGCCATAAAAGTCCTGAGATTATAACCATAAAACCCCCAGCAGATGACTCCCAGATAAACAGAAGAGGAAACAGATCGCTCTGGGTACAAGAGTCCATAACATCCTTGCTCCCACTCCTCACATGCACAGTGCCTAATTGGCAAGCCGTGGAGAGTGGGGGAGCTCGCCCATCTGTGGAGAGTGGTGGCAGTTCTCACCACGTGGGAAACATGGGTCTGGAAAACTGGTGCCGGTGCTGGCGGTGCCAGTTGTCAGAAAACGAGTGACACACTTGCGCACAGTTGTCCATCATCAGGAAGGTAGTTTTCGGGTGTGTGGTGTGCCCTCCAGAGTCTGGCCAACGCTGCCCTCCGCTCCTGCTCTTGCCCCTTCAGGCAGAGCTGATGACCCCACCCCTCACCCTGTGCCTGTTCTCTCTCTCTCTTCTCCAGCTGTCTGGCTTCCTGGAACTTTTAGTAGAGTACTTCCGAAAATGCCTCATTGACATTTTCGGAATTCTTATGGAATATGAAGTGGGCAACCCCAGCCATAAAGCACTTGATCACCGCACGGGGAAGAAAGACGACAGCCAGTCCTCAGGAGACGATTCTGGGAAAGAAGAAGATGCTGAGTGTCCTGACGAAGAGGAAGAGGATGAGGAAGAGGAGGAAGACAGTGGAAAGACAGAGTCGGAGGGGACGAGCAGTGCTGCCCCTGCTGCTCCAGATGCCACCGTGGACCCCAAGGAGACGCCAAAGCAGGCCAGTAAGTTTGACAAGCTGCCCATAAAGATTGTCAAAAAGAGCAACCTGTTTGTGGTGGACCGGTCTGACAAGCTGGGCCGCGTGCAGGAGTTCAACAGTGGGCTCCTGCACTGGCAGCTGGGGGGCGGCGACACTACAGAGCACATCCAGACTCACTTTGAGAGCAAGATGGAGATCCCTCCTCGCAGGCGCCCGCCTCCGCCTCTGAGCTCCACCGGGAGGAAGAAAGAGCCAGAAGGCAAAGGTGATTCCGAAGAGCAACCAGAGAAAAGCATCATAGCCACCATTGATGACGTCTTGTCTGCCCGGCCAGGGGCCCTGCCTGAAGACGCCAACCCAGGACCCCAGACCGACAGCAACAAGTTTCCCTTTGGAATCCAGCAGGCCAAAAGCCACCGGAACATCAGGCTACTGGAGGACGAGCCCAGGAGCAGGGACGAGACACCCCTGTGTACCATCGCGCACTGGCAGGACTCCCTGGCCAAGCGCTGCATCTGTGTGTCCAACATCGTGCGGAGCTTGTCTTTCGTGCCTGGCAATGACGCAGAGATGTCCAAACACCCAGGCTTGGTGCTGATCCTGGGAAAGCTGATTCTGCTGCATCACGAGCATCCAGAGAGAAAAAGGGCGCCACAGACCTACGAGAAGGAGGAGGATGAGGACAAGGGGGTGGCCTGCAGCAAAGATGAGTGGTGGTGGGACTGTCTTGAGGTCTTGCGGGATAACACACTGGTCACGTTGGCCAACATTTCTGGGCAGCTAGACTTGTCTGCGTACACGGAGAGCATCTGCTTGCCGATCCTGGACGGTTTGCTGCACTGGATGGTGTGCCCGTCCGCAGAGGCACAGGACCCCTTTCCCACCGTGGGGCCCAACTCAGTCCTGTCACCACAGAGACTTGTGCTAGAGACGCTCTGTAAACTCAGTATCCAGGACAACAACGTGGACCTCATCTTGGCCACACCTCCATTTAGTCGTCAGGAGAAATTTTATGCTACATTAGTTAGGTACGTTGGGGATCGCAAAAACCCAGTCTGTCGAGAAATGTCCATGGCGCTTTTATCGAACCTTGCCCAGGGGGACACACTGGCAGCAAGGGCAATAGCTGTGCAGAAAGGAAGCATCGGAAACTTGATAAGCTTCCTGGAGGACGGGGTGACCATGGCACAGTACCAGCAGAGCCAGCACAGCCTCATGCACATGCAGCCCCCACCTCTGGAACCCCCTAGCGTAGACATGATGTGCAGGGCGGCCAAGGCTTTGCTGGCCATGGCCAGAGTGGACGAAAACCGCTCAGAATTCCTTTTGCACGAGGGTCGGTTGCTGGATATCTCGATATCGGCTGTCCTGAACTCTCTGGTGGCGTCTGTCATCTGTGATGTACTGTTTCAGATTGGGCAGTTATGACACACGTGAGCAGGCACGCATGCGTGAGTGAAGATAGAGGGTCACATAGGACTGGCTGTTTCTGTTCTCGTTTATCCAGCGTAGGATGAAGGAAGAGTCCTTGCTTCTCTGCCCCATCACTATTTACCAATTGGAAATTAAATCATTAATTCGAACAGTTATAAAATTAATATTTGCTGTCTGTGTGTATAAGTACATCCTTTGGGGATTTTCTATTTCTTTTTTTTTTAACCAAAGTTGCTGTCCAGTGCATTCAAAGGTCACTTCTTTTCCATAAAATTTCCTTTTTAATGTTTTTTTTTTTAATGTTGTATTGCAGTTTTGGGGAAGTGAATTGAAAGAAAAAAATTTTTTTGGCAAAAGAGGCTAAGATAGGAAAATTTCACCACACCGAGGCAGAAAGGTGGAAGGAAAATTGATCCTTGAATTGATTTCCTATGAATTTTATTCTTCACAGAATGATAAAAACAAAACTGCACCCCGCCACCCAAAGCTCTGTGCAATAGAAACTTCTAGAGATATAGGTATAGGGGCTCGAGGAAGTGTGGCAGTCAGTCAGAACTACGAGTGATACTGGTTTCTCCACAGGAAAGTGGTTACATTAGGCTATGAGCAAAAAAACGGCGCTTTCAGTTAGGGGTGAAGCTGCACCCTGACAGCCATCCGCGGAACTGCTTCCTCACCACAACCGCCATGTCTGCTGCGGTTCGGCCTCCACGTGACAGTTCTTCACAATTCCTTTCATCGTTTTTTAAATATTTTTTTTACTGCCTGTGGGCTGTGATGTATATAGAAGTTGTACATTAAACATACCCTCATTTTTTTTCTTTTCTTTTTTTTTAGTACAAAGTTTTCATTTCTTTTTCATGATGTGGTAACTACAAAGTGATGGTAGATTTAAATAATTTTTTATTTTTATTTTATATATTTTTTCATTAGGACCATATCTCCAAAAAACAAAAAAAAGAAACAAAAAATACAAAAAACAAAAACAAACAAAAAAAGAGGGTAATGTACAAGTTTCTGTATGTATAAAGTCATGCTCTGTTGGGAGAGCAGCTGCTCCCAATTTGCTTCATGAATCAAGGTGTGGAAATGGTTGCATATGGATTGATTTAGAAAATGGATACCAGTACAGACAAAAAAAAGAAAAAAAGAAAAGAAAAACAAAGAATAAACAACTAAAAGGAAGAAACACAACTTCAGCGATTTTTCTGTGACAGGAATCCACATTTGTATTTCAAGATAATGTAGTTTAAGAAAAGAAAAAAATGAAAAAAACTTGATGTAAATTCCTCTTTTCCTCTGGCTTAATGAATATCATTTATTCAGTATAAATCTTTATATGTCCCACATGTTAAGAATAAATGTACATTAAATCTTGTTAAGCACTGTGATGGGTGTTCTTGAATACTGTTCTAGTTTGACTAACGTGGTTGCATAGTAACCAAGTTATTTACAGGAAATAGGGAAGATGTAGCAGCCTCCTCCTGGTAGTGAAGCCTAAAGGCCAGAAAGAACTTTTGGGGTTACCTGCTTGAGAGTGGGAAGCCGCAGTGATCTCTCAGATTGTTTAGCAGATTAGGCCTTCTCTGAAGCAATTAACAATGTGACATTGAGGTGTGCCCATTCCCCTCTATATGGGTGGTGGCTGCCAGTCCCCTGCAGCGGGGCTCTCCAAGATGACTGGCCTGGAATCATAACCTTCTGCCTTTCACCATGTCTTTGTTTTAATCCTAGCTCGCACTCGCCATGTTTATTCTGTGTGCCTCGAAGTTACTCTGCACTTAGTTTATCCAGCGTGTGTAATATTTATATTGTGCGATGTTGAAAAGAACATGTTCTATTGTATGTGGTGTAACAGTGCCAAGTGATGGTTCTATTCCAGGGCGTACTCTTGTCTTCCTTCCTGCCTGGTGCCCGCTCACTTCCTAATACTCAGCTCTGGTTGAAAGGTTTTCTTCCCGGGTCAGTGACTGTTACTGTGAAACATTCGGTCTCTCTGAAACTGCCGCCACTGTCCCTCCTCACTCTACCTCTCTCTGCCCTCTCAGTCTGCACTTCCTGCCCCTCCCACACCCGCAGCTGTAAGCCTTGCTCATGCTAAAGTGGAGGAGCTAGGCGGGAACACGCAGTCATAACCAGGGTGAGGTGGCTCTGGTGTCATGAGAAATTGTTTTCTCCTGCGAGCAATCCTCAGCTAGCAATCCTCGCCCCGCTTCAGCAAACAGATCCATGTTGAATTAAAACCCCACTTATAATAAATTTTTATATATCTGCCTGCCAAGAATAGATGTTAGTGTTGCCCAATGAAAACATGGAGATGGGTAAGAGAGAATTCTGTAGCATCCTAATCTCTCTTGCAGTACAGACAGACATCACAGGTATCTAGCACCCCAGTTCCCTCGTCAGACGAGCGACCCCTTGGAAAGCCAGGTGGCTCTAGAGTAACCGGTCCCAGAGCAGACTGCTGGTGCTCGCTGACACCATGCCCTGTGACTAGGCTCTTCTGGGAAGTCTTGCCTCCTCCCTCTACTCTCACAAACGGACTTCCAGAAACCCACAAAGGATTTACACCCAGATTGGCATTATCTCGCCTATACTGAGTTGCTGCTCTGTCCTAAAAAAAAAAAATTAGTTGTTTTCTTTTCCAGGACTTCTCAGAAATTTGCAGGATGACCATACTCTAAATGTGTACCGAAAAAGAGAGAGAAATAAAGGTGCAAAGAAAGTTTAGTATTTTGGTATGGTGCTATAAAGTTAAATCTGTTGGTATTTGAGTGGTTTTTTTTAATTATATCATATAAGAGATATTATTGGGTGGCATTGGCTAACAAATAGCTATTTGAGTGTTTGAGTTGGATTACAATCAGCTTTTGCTTGGCTGTTCAAAAGCCAGTTACAGTGTTTTCCCAGTTAAAACAGAATTGGACTCCGCAGCATGGGCTGTCGTCATACAGTGCACATTCTTAGCCACCCCTTCTGAGGGCTGAAGGCCAAGGCCCCGAGACCCGTCCATCTCAAACTGTGTGCAAATCCCGTGTGTTCAACCTACAAGGAAGTGAGAAAGGAGGCAGGCGGCCCCTTCTCCCTTCGTACTGAGTTGTACTCACTTGTTTAGAGTCCAGCACAGTGCCCAGAACTACCACCCCGTGCCCCTAGTGCACCCAAGAGAAGTGACCTTGAATGTCATGGTCAAGACAGCTTTATAAACCTCTATTAAATATTTCTGATAATGATATGTGATCTGCATATCCATACATTTATTCTTTAACTTAGCAGGTGTTGAGTATGTACCCCCTGCCTAGATCCAAGGAGGTCCCATCAGTGGGAATGGTCCTGCTGCAGTTAGAGTCACATAAGTCAGCTAGGTCTCAGCACCTAGAGTGAAGTGAGGCCATGCAGTTAACTCCCAGTGCCGTGTGTAGTCTCATACTGCCAACAGTGAGAGGCCCCTGTCTACCAAGTAAGTTCCTGAAGTATGCTTTCCTCCCTCTTAGCTTTCATAAGGATGTAGAAAGATAAACAATAGTTACCTGATTCCCAGTGGCACCCAAACCAGGTAACCACATCCGGGTCTACAGAGCTCACTAGAACCATACAAAGGTGGTCAAAGCCAGTGTCGCCTGAGACCCCTGATACTCCCAGCCTCCACTTTATGCCCCACCCATATCCCAAAGTGCTCTGACATCCCTGAGTTCCAAATTAACTTGCTTTGGGGTTTACAATGTTAATGTTCTGGGGAAGTTGGGAGTTGGTGGGAGATCACCAAACTGTTGGAAGTAGGAAACTCACCAAACCTGACCTGGGACATGGGGTCAACACTAACTTTGCCCAAAGTATGACTAGGAAACAGAAGGCCTCAGAAAGAGAGGATTGGCTTGTTTGGTCTCCTAGAGGTTTGAGTTTGAGCCACACTGTGCCTGTTTATCTCGAGTGTTTTCTTCCTTTTGAGCCTGGGACACATACACACACACCTCTTTTCCCTTTAAACATGGCTCAGGGCTTTAAGCAATGCACTCTATTCTTTAGGCAGAGAGAACACTGAACTCTCTCCAGTTCTGCAGCCCAAGGGACTTAAATCCTTTAACCTCAGCTTTGCCCACCCCATGGAATTGCTAAGTGATGTATCAGATGCTTTCGTTACGGCTTCAGGAAGCTGTTGGGTGTGTATTCTTCAGAGTGCGGTGTACATGTGTACCTACACACGCCACATTTCCTTTGCTGGTGCCGTGAGCACACATTCGGCAGAGTTTTAAAATAAGGCCTTCGAGGCTGTCTTTCTGTTTCCACGACACATCACAGCTTTTAACCATTTTCCTAGAGAAGGCCGTCATGGAGTAGCCTGCTGCTTGCCTGGGCTTCTGTTGGAAGTGATCCCCGTAACCTCTCTGTTGAATAGCATTTGGGATGGAGGGTACCTCCTTCTTTCCAGGCCTGAAGGAAATCAATCTGTAGAATTAACCATAATGCATAGCCCCATTACCCCATCTTGCTTTTTAAATAAAATGTCACGTCTTTCAAAGGTCAAATGTGACAGGTGACTGGTCACAATATTTGACTTGATGCCAAGAAACACAGAACAAGTCTTTAAAGATGTCGTACCCCTGCCTGCTTAGCCAAAAGGTGCTGGGCTCTGTCATAGTTTCTGGACACACTTTGAGTCTGTGTTCGTGGAAAGCATGGACGAGAAGATGACACTCGGGCATTTTTCTTCTGCTTGAATTTGGCATTCAGCTGGCCCCGGCACCATGCATTCTACTGACTAGATTTTCCCAGAGTCAAAGCACCGAACATGAACACTGCCCCTAGAAGACAGCCATCAAATGATTGGTCCCTCCAGCAAGGACTGCAGTTCTTCTCGCTACATTCTGGTAAGTGATGACATTTCGTTGATTTAGTTAATTGGACCACCTGAAGGCACGTCGTACCTCCTGGCTGTTCACATGAGCCTTAGTATGGTGTGCATCCCATATACCTCTCCAAAAGACCCAAGGCCAGCACCCTGCACACCTGAAGCTAGGCCCAAGCAGAGACCTAGAAGTTCACGTGCCTAAGAAGATTCAGAGGTGACTGAAAGCACTGAGAACAGAAGCCATGGTGTATAGTGTCCGTGGGTCAGAGGGGAGGGGTCTCATTCCTGCTCCAGAAGAGAGACAAGGTCTCATGCCCTTGGGTCTTTCTTTGCTGTGCTAAGGAGGGAGCCTCAGGCCTGGCCACCACTGTGTGTTAGAATAGCATTAGGTTGGTTGGTTGGTTTTGTGACAGGGTTTCTCTGTAGCTTTGGAGCCTGTCCTGGAACTAGCTCTTGTAGACCAGGCTGGCCTGGAACTAGCTCTTGTAGACCAGGCTGGCCTCGAACTCACGGAGATCTGCCTGCCTCTGCCTCCCGAGTGCTGGGATTAAAGGAGTGCACCCCACCGCCCGGTGTTAGAATAGCATTGCATTTAAGGAAGGTCTGTCTGCACACATACTGGGTCCTTCCCAGGGTCTCCCTCTAGCCCTAGCCTTCATCTTCATAATCCTTAAGAAACATCAAGGATGTGATTAGCATTGGGAAGGAAACAGTTGTCACCTGTGGATGGAGGCTGCTGACTTCTGCCCTCTAGTCAATGAGCGACAGTGGACGAGTCTACTAAACGCCAGTCTGTCAGGGACCAGAGCTCCCAGACATAACCAGACATGTTAATTTCCCATGCGACCCTTCCCAGATCCCTTATCGATGAGTATTTAAATTCCTTCAAAAATTACTTTGGGCCTATGAGCTCCCATAGATACTACATTGAGAGAATAGGCTCCTGTGTGAATCTGACCCTAAATGCTTTTTGTGAAGGTTGAAATGCAGGGCCATTCATGCAGGTGGTGGGCGATTGCATGTGCGGTGGCCTGACCTCTAGCACTGGGTCACTGAGGTTACCGAAGCTCCTCTGTAGGCACTCCTGGCACATCTACCTGATAAAGTGACCGCCAGCCTTCCTGTTGGATGGTGCTTAGAACTCTGATTTTGAAATCAATTTTCTTTCCTGCTTAGCTTTTCAGCTCTTTGTGCCTTAAAAGAAGACATCCAAGAGACAACTGACCTCCGGGGCAGGGTTGGAGGATGACACCAACCACTTGAGGGCCTCAGTGATGCTAACCCTTCACGAAAGAGTACATTTTACATGTTGAGTTTAAATATATTGAGCAAGATGCTTAAAAGCACAATGCTTATGTTGTTAGCTCTGCTTCTTTCTGTTGTTTTCACCAAATGGTCTGAGCATACGGCCAGCATTTCCTGGGCCGGATGATCTGAAGGGAGTGGGCTCCTGGTGGTACAGAGCCTGTCGAGATGCGTTTCAGTTCAGAAGAGCTTGTCGTGAAGGCCTCCTTCGGCCAACTGTATACATTC